AAAATTTTTGAGAGCTACCTCAGTGTTCTCACGAGTATAGTAAGTAGAGCAATCTAGGATTCCCCAAACAAATGACTGTCGTCTCACTAGTAATACTAGGGGGTGAAGTACTATACTTGCATGCACTTCCAATAATTGTCAATTCTTTAGAATAAATTGCTTTTGAAAAAAATGCCTCTTTTTGGGACAGTTGCCATGGCTTCCATTCACGGAAGTAGATTAGGTGCGTGGAAGACGCGAGAAAAGAAGGGTAAGAGTCGCGTGGCAACCCTTGGCGGATATTTTCTTGCGACGACCGCGCCACCGTCGTGTACAGGGAATATTATATTTTCCTCGCACACCTCACCGCGTTCCGTATCATGCTAATGCCACGGCGGCGGCGTCGCAACGCCGCTATTTTACTATTCCGCGAAGCGTCGCCGTGCGGGACGTGTTCCCCGGCAACTTCCGAACACGTTTTCGCGGGTCGCGACGCCTGTCCGGACGAACGCTCGCCTAAAACGCAGCCAGGCAATCTCGTATTTTCTACCTCGAAGATGGATTGTTCGCCGAGATCTGATACGGCACTCCTGGCCTGTTCTATTTTCATAGATGACGGGACGAAAATTGCTCGAGGACGGGCTGGATTTGTTTTTTATCCACAAGCAGGTGAACAGTGGAGATTCTTTTTTATGAATGGGGAGCTGGGAATCGATAAAAGGGAAGTGCATCGGTGATTAGGGTGACACCGATCGGTGCAGTATGAAGTAGGGCTGGGTGCAACGTTCTACTTCTTCTAAAGGGTTGCAGAGTTTAAAATGAATTTTATAAAGTATAAATTGAGATATTATAATATTATTACGCATTAGCTTTCTAGGAATTTATTTTTCTTTTGTCAATCGTGTTTTTAAGTTTAAAGAAATTAAAAAATAAATTGCACTGTCGTATGTGTTTATATAAGAGATATTAAATGTAATCCAGTCGAATACGAAGATAGCGCGAAGCATGTGGTGCATGGTGGGTGTTCTTCCAAGTTAAATGTCACTTAACCGAGACGCGAAAGAGGATGGGTGGCCGCTTGGAAATTTTCACGAGAGTTTTTGAATCACAGTTTCCTACGATATTTCGATTTACTTGCTGGTTTCACATTATCAAATTCCATAATCTCCCTTGGCTGGCCCTCCTCTCCAACTATCTGACGTGTGACACAGCAACGGTCCAATCAACTGTCACTAGGGTTATAATGGGTCACTACTTTCTCCAGAACCGTTCCTGGAGGAACAGTTTTCACCACTTTGTGAACGGGTTTCTGACAGGGTTGGAGAATTAGTGTTTTTCGTGTATTGAAAAAATGGTGGACAGTTGTGTGTCCATCAGAGATCCAATGATATGGAGTTCGAGATAATTTAATCTGTCATCTTGTGTGAACCAGCTTTCTCTTGAAGCTCTCCTAGTCCAACAAACCATATCAACTAGTTGTGTGTCCATCAGAGATCCAATGATATGGAGTTCGAGATAATTTAATCTGTCATCTTGTGAACCAGCTTTCCCTTGAAGCTCCTAGTCCAACAAACCATATCAACTATAATCCGGTCTCGGTCAGGAGACACCCTGACCTAACATGGGACAGTGTGCGTCACAACTAATCAGTCAGTTAGCAGTGTTAAGGGTGTCACAATCGATCACTTTCTCCGGATTCTATTTCCTAGCAATTGTTTGACAACTATGGACTCCTGTAAGTGTTTCCAGAACCCCTATTCCTGTCACGTGCAGCACAGCGAGTGACTGAAATTCCAGCAATTACGGACACACGCCATCTGAACTTCAGAAAATAGGGGAAGAATTCCAACGATAAAAGGGAACACGAAACACGTGCATTCCCAGCAGTTGGAATTTCAAAAATAAAAAAGGAATATAAAAAGAGCAAGCACAATAAGGATACTTAAAAAAAACGCCAGCAATAAAACAGCCACTAAAGCCAGGAAGGTTTGAACAATAAAAAAGAATCAGTGCACAAGTGCACCAGGAAACAGAGATTTGAGCAATAAAAGAGGCAGTGGTGTGCAAGGGCACTTTAAAGGAGAACGCCAACGATAAAAGGAAAGGTGCAAGGACAACCGGGGAAAAAAGAATTCCGTTGATAAAAAGTACACACGCAGCACAATATGAAATACCAACGTGTAAAAATGGATAAAATAAAATAGGATCTGTGGACAGATGAAATTTCTCCGCGGATCCCGAGATTCGAAGGAACAGAAAAGAACCGTGTTAAATCCTTAAGACATCCTAACGGACACGTGTCAGAAATCCGAGAATGGCTTTAAACCGTGATGGAGAGTGGTACTATAAAGTTACCGATGTAAAAACGCCAGACAATGAACGCGAGCCATACACGACGAACGGGTGTACATAATTGAAAGGCACTCTTCTTCGATTTGCATGAAACCGTGATAAATCGACGCTGAGAAAATCGGTTACGCTATCTCCCATACACTGCGTATCGGGATACTTCTTACACTACAAAATTCACGAGTTCGCGCAATTTCTAAGACTCCGGACGAAAGGCATCGAGCACGGTATCAAACGGACACTCATGGCGCTGCGCTTTCACCGGAAAGTGGAGCACGTCGAGGGAACCTATGCTCGTATTCAATCTTCCTCGTCATAACTGCAAACAGAGCCGAGTTCTCGAATTACGTACACCTCGAAATCGCGAATAAAACTCGTTGCCGGATCGTATTATCGAGGCCTCGAGCCTCGCAACCGTCTCGGGCTGCCATTAAATCCGACCACTCTTCCTGGGTTCTCGTCGAACACTCTCGACCACTCGATCTTCCACCCGTGAACACCGATTCCGTGATGAATTCCAGGAGCTGCCTGGAAAGTCGCGCGGAAAATCACCTAGGAGATCAGCGGGGAAATGGCACCGCCGCGCCGAGTGCTCGTCATGTGGGGTAACAGACCCACTGAATACCAACGTGGTCTATTCGCGATACTTTTGCATAGATGATCGATAGCGTGCGGCCGATCCTCGAGAACAATTGTAGGAAGGGAGGAGAATCCGGGGAGGAGCGTGCATCGACAAACAAACGTTCGACGGTCACGTTTCATCCTGATGCGGCCCCGATACTGCATATTCCGTATCGAAAACATTATATCCTGCCCGGGGCGCACGTGCACGGCTGCATGCTTGGAATTCAAAGGCGACGAATCGATCAGCCCGCCGCGAATGGAAAGAGACATTAAAGAACTGGCTGGCGTTGGGTACGGAGGGTGAATTGGAATCAGAGACGGCGGGAAGGGTTGGAGAAATGGCGAGGCCGAGAACGAGGACGGGGAATAGAGGAGGACGATGAACGAGTCGATCGAGGCCGATTATCGCGTTCGGGTAGTAGTGCCGATCTCTCGAGATAATTTACGCGAAACGAGATTATAGTTTGGATCATTCCGTGGACCTTGGAGAGGGGGTTGGTCTACGTTTTCCTCGGATGTCGGTACATTCTTGGGAGCTTAACGAGGGGACTGGGTGGAAAATTCCTTTCCAATCCGTTGTTCCTTTCTTGAGCTAATGGTGAGACAAACAGACAGAGATCGTTTAAACGCTGTTAGTAATTTAACGATCGAGCTTTGGATAGAGATAGGAAGGACTTGGAGTTGTGACTGCTTGGACCTGGACTTGGACTCCTTAATTTCATCGTGTCCCGAGACACAGGGTCCCTCTGTACAGGGTGATTCAAGATACCTCTCCGTACCTCAGAAGTTCACAATCATTCGTCCCCTAGGGTTATATGTTTATGAACCACACTGTACATTCGAGAAGAGCGTGGAAAGAGCGACGAATCTTCTTAAAGCGAGCAACATCCGAACGAAAGCGTCGAAAAATATTATTTCGAGCGCTACACGTCGCATAGCAAACAAACCAAACAACGAATCTTGACTGTAGCAACACGGGGCAAAACGGGATACGATTCGCGCGGGTCCAAAGGCACGGGCGGGGATGGCACGCAATCAAGTAGACCGGGCCAAGTTACACGGTGATCGTTCGCGATAGAGGCGGTGGAACAAACAGCGGCGGGATTAGCCGCGTTTACGCGGCGAATCGATAACCCCGGCACGGCGGAGGCCGGTCAGGGCAAACACACGCGTGTGCGTGGCCGTGGATCGCGTGGCGATTCAAACAGGTCCCGAAAATCCGGTCACGCCGCTATGTATTACACGGCCGGGACGTGTTATCCGGCTTAGCCCTGGAAACAGCGGCGGCCTGCACGCTGCGAGCGTAAACCGAATGCAATATGCATGCCGCGAAACTGACATCCTTCGCGATAGATCCTTAACCCTTTTTCGTTTAGGGTGCCGACTATAATCGGCGTCCGCGTCACGACCTGTGTGTACAGGTGTCGACTATAATCGGCGTCCACGTGACGATCTGTGTAATCGGTGTCCACTCGTACACTGTGCACACTTCGCAGCGCGGTGCCTTGTTCTATAGTGTCTGACGAATTAAAGTAACTAAAGGGTTAAGAAAGGACTCCATTCGTCGTCCCATCGACTGTACAGATCGGTCTCCTCTTTTCCCAAGTGACACGAGGCCACAGAAGTCTAGACACTCCATTTTATCAGCGAGTTGCCCCCAAAGTACAGGTCTAACTGCCGAACAGACAGGGTGTCAGTGTAGAAACTGCGGAGAATGTTACGAATCCCATGCACGATCCCGGTATAAATCGCACCAGATCTCAATCACCTCGAACCCACCCAGTAGCCACTGCCTGGTAACCACCCGGAGAAAAGTCACCGCAGGAATCTCCGACCTCGAACAAACCCCGGGAATGTGCCCGCTGAACTCGGACCCCCAGCAGACTAACAAACCAATTACCAGCATGAGCGTGTTGACTGTCGATCGTGATCGTTCGTTCTTCCCCGGAAGGGTCCGCGGCTGCATGCTGGCTTGTGCATTTGGTAGAGTCCAACTAGCCTCGCCGTCGATCGATCGCTGACGAGAAGGATCCCTGGTCTGTTCACAGGATCTAACGTACGCGGAGGGCGGCCACAACTGGCGGAGCATAATCTTCTCGCTGCTGGTCATCGGCTTCGTTATCGCCGGGATCGTCACGGCCATTTACCTGCTCGGGTGAGTATCCAGTCCATTTCTTTCCGCTCGTTCCCTATCCTTATCGCTCCGCCGTCTGCTCGATGGCTTCCGGTAGAGGAGGATGCAGTTAAGCAGTTCGGAAACGCCTGATCCGGTGTAGACTCGCGAAATTAATCCGTCTCCTACCTCCTCCGACCCAGCTGGGTCTCCTGATCCCTTTATATTAACGACTCGCGAGTCGTAGTCGAAGGGAAATCAGGTTCATCCACGTGGAAATTCCACGGGGGAATTTCGTCCAGCTTTGAACGAAATTATTCTTCCCTTTCTCCCTCCCTGTCACCTCCGGGAGGAATTGGCAGAGAGTAGCAAGAGAGTCCGAACTATTTCCCGTATTTTCTCGTCCTCGGCTGACTCTGCCCGATGGAGAAATTGAATGCGTCGGTCTGTTATTTTTTAATTCGATCGTCTCGCGGTTGATCTCGCAGTTTCTGGATCCTAGGTGGCGCTCACGCGAGGAAGTTATTATTTCGTTATTATCGCGGAGAGTTTCGGCTGGATTTTGCATTTACTTCGTAACGAGGTTCCGCGAAGTGTAAAGCGAGGCTACTCGAGCCCGGAGACACGTTCAAACATCGAATTAGCTCAACACAGCTCGCGAATTGGCTTTTCGCAGTCGAGCTAGCTACTCGCGACAAATCCTCTCGGGCGTCCAGGCCTCGTCTCGCCGGAAAATCCGCGTTTTATCGCCCTCAAAGCCACCCCGAAACGAGACCAGCCATTCGCTTTCTGTAACATTACCCTCTGCGATCTTTCGAACGTCGTAAACGCGGAAGTTTCGACTCGGATCTTAAAAGCGTCGTTGTTTAAGACGAAGCTTAGCTGAGCCACGACTCGCGAGGCGATGGACGGATTGGTGAGATTGTAGCTAGAGGGTTGGTTGTCGAAGTGGATACGAATTTTCAGGTACGTCGACGAGCTGTTGTACTGGAGCGGCAGGCGGCTCACGTTAGACGAGTGCCTTCGTGATGATTTGACACCGCACAGGTTGTCACCGACCTGGGTTGCCCACGACAAGTTCGTCTACCAGGCCGACGACGGCTCCCTCACTCTCCTGGACACCAGCAACAACTCCGTGGCCCTCCTGGTCTCTAATCACACGCTCGTACGTATCCCTCTTTGACATTTCGCAGAATTTTGAGTTTCAACAACGTGTTCTTTGCGTATATTATAATTTAATTCGACGAGACAGGTGATTAGTCGAAGTGAGATTATACTCCGTTTAATAAGATGAGCGCGTGTGATCAAATTAGGGTTGTCTTCACAGTACTTGGACCCTATGATTACGTAGAACTCTGTTTGGAACAGTGGAACAGTGTGAATTCTGAACGTTCTTTCAAGACTTATAACTGAGCAAGTGTCATGAAGTGTCACGAAGTGTCAAGAAAATAGATTAATATAGTAATGGATAGCACGTTGTACAGATGGCTGTATACAATTGCACTGTTCACTACTAATAGTCTATTGATATCTGTAGCGAAAATTTCATCTGTTCACTGATCGCTCTAAAATTGCTATAGAATCTAGATGCTCAGTGATAGATAGCTGCAGACTACTTAATAGATCATGCAGATGTTAATGTAAACACTGGTATCTCGTCTCTTTAGATGGAGTATAGTTGTTCAATTCTACCCTGAAGAATAATCCCACGATTCGGTTGATGGGAGAAATTGGAAAAAGCTGTGTCTGCATCGAGAATACGAAAATCGATGAGATAATACTGTTCAATGCGAATTTCAACGTGTAATATCCATTGAGTAATTATGGTAGAGTTGCGTGAACACGAATCCGTAATCAAAATGGCTCCATCGTCCTCGGTTTTCGAAAGTTGTAATAAAAATTTACATAATACTTCATTTTAGACAAAAATCGCATGCTTTTAAAGAAATTCACCTTTTCCGAAAATTCTGGGTGATGGAGCAATTTCGATTACGGATTCGTGTGCAGGAAAATCGCCTACTGGATATTACAGATCGAAAAGAAAGTAAAAATTAGTCGAATCGTGTCAGTGTACATCCACAATGGAAAATGCCAAGTATTTTCGGCAATGGTGCGAAAAGTCGGTCAAAAATCACCACGGACAGTTGTTCGAAATTGCACGCGAAGAGGTGAGAATATTAATTCGAAAAATCCGCTGAAAACCTGTGAGAACCATTTCGAAAATCGCGTTATCCGTCATATCGAATCACTGGTACATCTACTCCTCTCCTTCCGCGAATATTGCTCTTCGATCGCGCGTTTCTCCATTCGCCATGGCGCGAAATGGCGATGTTTGTTTCGCCGGGAACAGATCGGGAAGCTCGAGTCGATCGTTGTAAATCTGCATAGCTTCGCGCAAGAGCCGCGTTGCATTTTAATCCTGCCATGCATCTTTATGAGCCCGGCGATGGAGCACTGACAGAAATTAGAGCAGAGCGATGCTGGCTTCCTTTAAAATCGGTGCAGGAACAGCGCGCGACGATTAAAATTGCTTTAAAATTGCCGCAGTTTAATTAATCGACGCAGACCGTGCGTCCAAGTGCAATGGCCCGGTTCGACCGAGCGTTCAAGAATAGAAGATTCCTCGGTCAACTTCAATTAAGTCTAATGCAGTTTCGCGGTCGGAAGACGGGGGCTATTTCTCGAGATAAAAATGTACAACGCGTGGCAAAGAAGTATCACCGGTCTTTCTCCCCCTCGAGGAATTTCCAGAGGGGCCAAAGGGGGCTCGTAAATTCGGCGTGCGGGCGAAATTAATTAAACAGGGGCGCGAGTCTGCGGCTGAATCCACCCCCGAGGTTAATCGCAATTAAACGCGAGGACCTCGATCGATCCTGGAAAAACTTCGGCGACCATCGCGAATCCGAATTCCGCAAAATCGCGGAATTAAGCGGGCGAATTAGCGGGAAACGAGAAACGAGGAACCCCCTTGCGCCCTGTGCACGGGAAACGGAACGGGGAGGCAATAAACGGTCTTAACGTGGAGTATCAAACGTCCGTCGTCCGTGGTCTTATCTATCGGAGAGGTGAGTCTCGCCCGCGGCACGCCATAAAACAAAGAGAGTAGCCCGTATATAAGGCAAAGTTCGAGGTATTCGCCGGTTTATTCAAGAGAAAAGGGGGTCGCTCCCTCGCTCGCCTCGGCGCTATTGCATTTTCCGCTCGGCGGAACGATCCCGCGTGCTCGTGGGGCGGGCGAGAGATGATCGTGGCTTGGAACAGAGGAAGGAAAAGGAGAGCAAGAGGACGAACGGGGAAGGGAAGATGGGAAAGTAAAAGAAACGAAATGGGAAAGGAGAAAACGCGGAAATACGCGGAACGTTCGCAGAAGGGGCACCCTTAATAGACGCGAGGTTTAATAGCCGAGGTTTAACGATAATTTTGGAACGAGAGTGGGGGGACTTTGGGGAGCAACGTCAATTTGCTGCTCGTTAACGAAGGATCCTCGTGGTCGAGGAATATGAAATGCTATTGAGGGTAATAATGCTTCCTCGCGGTTAACGAGCACGGGCGACGACGATCGCTGTCAATGCTTCTGCTGATTCCAAAGAAATTAAATGCTCGTCGACGAGTACAAGTGGCTCCTCTTGCCTGTAGATAGAGAAGTGTTGCTCCCGATGTTAATGGAATTGAACGTCGCCCGAGCGGAGGGCCCCGTTTGACGAGTGTGTGCGACCGTTTGATTCGAGAGCCTTTCCTCGCCTCTCTAGTCGCTTCATCGCTTGGGAATAAAAAGTCCTTGGACTGAGTACGCTCTCGTGCGGCCTCTTCGATACGGCATCAACGAGATGATTACGAAATGGGAACTCTTGGAAGCGATTCACGGCTGGCCAAGGTGGAACAGGTCCAAAATCCTCGTCCCCTTATCTGCCAAACACGAACAGACGAACCGACACGCCGCATTGATCTGGTGACCAGCGAAACATGCCGCGCCCGTCTCACTCTACTATTCAGATTCCAGTATCGACTTCTGCTCCACGCGTTCTAAGTTATTTCCGGTGTTATTCGTTGCTTCCGCCAGTAAGCTGTCAATAGCGTTAATAATTGCTGCCACGGGTTTCACGGGGTTCGTGATCGCGAGGGTGCGATTGGAGCACGTGGTGAACGTCAGACGTAGGGGACTGGTGCCTATGGAGGGAGACACATGGCGAAAATACGACTAGGTGTCTCTGATTTAAAGGGCCATTGCACGTGGCCCGGCGTTCCTAGTGGTTGTTCGCGAAAGTTCGAGGTTCGGCCGACTTTACGAGTACGGCGAACGGTCGTAAAGTTGGCGGTAGCGCGGGAAATGGAAAATGTATAAGCCCGTAAATCTTGGCCGGCTTTATTTCCAGAGACAGCTGAACGTCCAGGGCTACCAGTGCAGCGCCGACCTGCGTTACGTGTTGTTCAAGCACAATGTCAAGCCGGTGAGTAACGCGTATCCGATTTCGATGATCCTTATTGACCAGTCCATTGTTGACTTGATCGCGTTAAACGATGGGAAGAGAAACGACGGTACTGCCAATGTAATAACTGCCAATAAGCGAAATGAATTTCAGGTGTTCAGAAATACCTTCACCGCTTACTACACAGTCTACGACGTCACGAACGAGTAAGTAACGTGTTCGAGACGTCTAAATGCTGTCAAAGTCGCGATAATTCTGTATCGCTTCCAGCCACCATACGCCCCTCCGTCTGCACGCGTCGCGCAGGATGCAGCAAACGCGGCTGCAGCACGCCGCCTGGTTGGGCAACACATCCGGGCTCCTGATGATCTCCGAGAACGACATCTACGTGAGGTTAGCACCGTCCGCGGCGGAGGACGCGCGGATTACCGATACAGGTGTTCCCGGCGTGATTTACAACGGCGTGCCGGACTGGCTGTATCAGGAGGAAGTGCTGCCGCGGCCGGAAGCAGCCTGGCCTAGCCCCGACGGCACGCACCTCCTCTTCGCCTCCTTCAACGACACCAAGGTCACTGCCCTGGAATTTCCTTGGTTCAGCTCGCAGCCGGGTCAGGACGGACCCAGTGCCAGCCCCCTGTCAACGTCGCGAAGAGGCTCCTTCCCGCCATCGAGATCCGTCAGGTACCCTACACCCGGCACGCCCAACCCCGAGGTGGACCTGTGGCTGTTGGAACTCAGCAACGTGACCGGGTCCTTCAACGGAAATGGAACAACGAACACGTCGGCGCTGTTCAGGCTGAGGCTGAAACCGCCGTCTGCTCTGGATGGACAGTAAGTACCAGCTTGTTCGCTGCGCGAGGATCACGGATAATACTCTCGTCGGAGATCCAGCCGAGTATTATAATTTCGAAGATTCTTCCACGCGTGCCGTTTGGTCGTACAGATAATGGATTCGAATTGGTTTAAGAGAAAGTCTTCTTCATTTTTTTGGAGGGAGTATTATTTAATATCTGCGGGCTGGGTGGGCGACGACTCCAGCCAAGTGGCCGTCGTCTGGATGACCAGATCGCAGAATCTCTCGTTGGTGTCCGCGTGTCGAGCACCGATGTGGGAATGCGAGGAGACACACTCCGAGAGAGCGCCGGAAGGACAATGGTTAGACGCGCAGCCTCATCCCTTGTTCGCGCCTGACGGTGACAGCTTCTTGCTGCTGGCTGCGGTGCAGGAGGGCGACAAGGAACACTTCACCCACATCAAACACGTAACCCTGACTCAACAGAGGATAGCGGTCCTGTCGCACGGTCGTTACGAGGTGAGGCGAATTAATCACCAGCCACGATATCGGGAATTCGCGTTGTACATATCTTTCCTGGTCTGTAAGGTGAGTGAAATCTTAGCATGGGACACCAAAGCCCACCTGGTGTACTATCTGGGCACCAGGGAGAGAAGGCCAGGTCAGAGACACCTCTACGTCGTTCCTGATCCCACTGCTGACGATCCTCGACGTCTCGAGCCGCTCTGCGTCACGTGTGACCTCGGGGAGGTTCTCTGGAGCAGTAGGTGGGTCTTTAAACGCGACACAGGAATTCGGTATCTGTCGACTGCCTGGATGTCAATTGACACTGTGAACTTTGCGACAGGTTCTATTACACCAACTGTACGCACTTCAGCGCATCCGTGAGCCCAGCGGTAGAAAACGAGAACCAGGGTTACTACGTTCTCCACTGCGAAGGTCCAGGTCTCCCACTGGCCGGTGTACACCTGATGACCACTCACAAGATGATCCGCGTGCTGTACGACACTAGGATCCAACGCGGAGACAAGCTTTCCCAGCTGGCGTTACCAACTCGAAGAAGCTTCGAGGTACCTGTCTTTGTTTCAGACGTTTATGAGATATTTTCTCCAGCGGAGGCTAATCCGATCCCTGTTTAGGTGCCTCTACCTCAAGGCTGGAAAGCCCAGGTGCAGTTGCTGTTGCCACCCTCGTGGCGAGAAGAGCTCAGAGACGCTGCGTTCCCTGTCCTGGTTGAGGTGAACGGTCGTCCAGGCAGCGAGGCGGTGACCGATCGATTCAAAATCGATTGGGGAACCTACATGTCCAGTCACAACGACGTGGTGTACGTCAGGCTGGACGTACGCGGAGCCAGAGGCCAAGGGAAGCGGGATCTCTTCAGGCGAATCGGTGGCGTCGAGGTTCAGGATCAGTTGACAGTGCTGAGGCACCTGCTAAAGACGCTAAAGTACCTGGACGTCACCAGGGTGGGGGTGTGGGGTTGGGGATACGGTGGCTACGTGACTGCCATGGTGTTAGGTAGCCAGGAGAACGTGTTCAAATGTGGAGTCGCTGTGAATCCCATCGCGGATTGGCTCTATTACAGTGAGTTGCAGCATTTGCTCTCGGAGAAGGATCATTCTTGGAGCGTTTCTTCCAAGATACGGCGTTTCTCGGATAAGAATCCTTTTGTCCTCGCAGATTCCGCGTTCACGGAGCGAGTGCTCGGTGCCCCAGCGGAGAACTACAAAGGTTACGTGGAGGCTGACCTGACCCAGCGCGCGAGGTTGGTGCCCAGTCACAGCCTCTACCTTCTTCATGGTCTAGCCGACCTCACAGCGCCTTATACGCACGGTGTCGCCTTCGCTAAGGCTCTGTCCGAAGCGGGTATCATCTTCAGGTACCAGGTACGCGACTTGCCAACCTGTTTCGACGTCTACGAAATCGATAGGGGATGAAATAACCGATTGTACGATCCGACAGAGTTACGCGGACGAAGACCACGCCTTGTCGGGTGTCTTGGAACACGCTTATCGTTCCATGGAGGACTTCCTCGCAGAGTGCCTCGCCCTGGACGCGTCCTAGTGCCTCAAGCCGAACGCTCCCTCGTTGTCTCTAGCTCGCCTACTTCTCACACGTCCCGAATGCACGTGGATACTGGTGAAGAGGGCTCTCGTCGTTCAGGACTGGACTAGCTCGAATAAATAGGAGTACCGGACGTAAGCCGGTCCTGATCGTCAGGAATCGGGCGAACGGAGACGCGGATAGACGCGAAACAGTTCGGACGGAATAATCGTATAGCGAAGCGAAACGAGTCAAATTAATGCTAGTCCCCCGTCAGAGCCGACAGGGTGCTCGTGACACGGAGAAAGATACGCGTAGAAGACAAGCGGTGATGAGAGGGATGAGGTAAAGCTAGCGTTTGTATAAGTAAATATGGTTAAATAACGTTGTATATCAGCCGTCTGCATCAGCCTGCGGATTCCTCTTTGCTACGGGAAACTTTCACTTTGCTCTCTGGACGCGCACCCCGGACAAATTTCTAGTCTGTAATCTACCCCCGGCCATCCAGAGACGTGTCTAGCTAGGTCTGTATCGCGGTTGGGCCGCGCGAACGGCGCTCTCAGATTCCGCAAGCTCGGGACTCGCCTTGCGTTCCCTGCAACCCCCTCGTCCTCGATCCGACGGCTGTCCCAGCCGAGGTCCGGCCGGGACACCGCCTGACAGTCGGCGAACGGTGTCGTGCTTCTCGCGAGCTTGCAAGCTCTAACCATTTTTTATACAGCGAAACCTTCGGGATCGAGTGGTGATCGACGACACGCGAAGGATACCCAGCGAACGACGATCGAGCGTATCGAGCTTAGCGCGAGCTTGCAAGCTCGCCTCCCACCTTTTTTATATCGACCCTCCACCACACTCACACGCACACGCACACCCGCACACGGACACGCACACACGCGCACCGCTCGAGACATTCGCGTCGTTTGTATACCTTTCCGCTTTTGAGGACGTCGAGCTTATCTCGGAAGCTTGCAAGCTCCCCCCGCCTTTTCCACGAGGAACAGATAGTTATCTCCGTGCAGCTAGATCTATCACCGTACCAACGCGTCAGATCTACCCGGATCGAACGTGTCGGCCACGCACCGTGCAGAGCTTGCAAGCTCGCGTTACATCACCTTCTCTCTCTCTCTCTCTCTCTCCCTCTCCCTCTCTCTCTCTCTCTCTCTCACATCGGTGCCTCCCTACGCCTGTGCGATGCCGCAACGACACGTCCAGGGGTACCGACGTAACCGCACTTCGTCGTTTTAGAAAGGAAAACGCCTAGTCTTAAGTTTTGTGTTGTACAGCTTCGCGCCTAGTCTATGTACCGTAATGTTACTTACGCGTGAAGAAAAGGAGAAAAAAGAGAAGATCAGAAAAGGGAGGAAAGAAGATGTTACCCCGGCCCAGTCCTCCATTCTACACCTATCTCCATCTACCGTTTCGCCCTTCGATATTTGTATATATCCGTAACACGCGTCTCTCGAAGAGTCCCCTGGCGCGGGACGCGTTCCCTTCGACGAGGTTCGCGCGTGTTCCCGTTTGTCGTTGATCGTTTGTTGTACTATATCGCTAAGTTGTACTATAAACACACAGTTTCCAGATTAAATAACTATTATTAAGTAAGTTAAGCGACGCGAGGCTTTAGGATTAAACGTTCAGGTTCACCGTATACTTTTAGCTCGTTCGAGAGGACCTCGTCGCGGGCAACGGACCCCTTATCGTATTCCTTTTCTCTCGATCAGCGCGGACCGCGCGCAGGGCCCCGGGGGGCGCTCGCGGTCCACGCGGCGAAGATCGATGTTCGTTCAGACGCGGTTGATGTTGCAGGAAATCGTTCGAGATCGATCGGGCCCGCGAGATGCACGCGCGCGTCCGTCGGTCCCTTCGCTGTCGCGATCGATCCCGGTCACACCACTCGTCTGCGAGGATTCGCCGATTAACGAACGCAACTATACCTCTATGTGTCTTCTGAAATTTGTACCGTCATCGACTCGAACGTGTCCCGAATTAATTCGCGTGCCGAGCGTCCACGTAGCGAAGGGACCGACGTCCGCCCATATTTCCCGCTCGCGGGCCCGATCGATGCGGGACACTTTTCGACGGTTGATTAAGGGGATAAGAAAAAAGAAAAAAAGAAAAAAAGAAAATAAGAAAAACACACAAAATGTCGCGCTCGAACGAAAGAGAGTCGCACGTCGCCATAAACGCTGCCTGCCCAGCAGCCCTTAAATGCCGACAATCAAGGCTAGTGCAACTAATCAAACGATAATAAATAGAAACGGAGAGGATGAAGAAATTACCTAATAATAATTAACGAATTCTTAGATGAGTGATCGATGTGGTTCGTCCACGTCGGACCGTGCGTGGCTGTAGGGCCTCGACGAGGAGCCAGGTTGACAGAGAATTGCGAGAACACCCCCTCTCACGGGGGTGAGCATTCTCGTCGAGGGGATCCACGCTCGCGCGTGGACGGATTAGTAGACGTGGCAAATCGTTAGATCGAAATTACGTGCTTGATGTCGATCGTAGAGAGTACAAAAGGTGCAGCGTTGCCCGGCCAAGGAATCGTCCAATTATTCCTGAATTCCTTCACCCTAAAATTCGCGTGATCAGTCGTAGATGATTAATTCGAACTGTCTCCCAAATATACTACCAAAGTTGTCACGATGGTTAGATACGTGACGCGTGTTCAGCCTTCGATTCTCTAGGGGAAAAGAAGGAACCAAAAGAAGTTTATAGATATCTTTCCCTTTTTCTTCCATTTTTATTTTCCCTTGAGTTCCCGTAAATTGGTTCCTTGGTCGCGCGACACGGACAGACGCGTTATTGTTAAAACACATTGTAAAAGTTCATTTCTTCGTTGGGTAAGCCTTTGCCGCGTACGAATTCGCGGCAAGGGGGTAGTAACTCGAGAAACGTCGGGGGTAAGATGAACGAGAGGAGATCGATGAACGAGAGTCAGTGAGAGTGAGTGCGAGTGTGAGTGTGCAATCGCAATCAATTATTAACTTATAAATAAACGGCAAAGGAGAAAAAAAGAAGAAGAAGAAGAAGAAGCGCGGCGAACTTTAGCGTAGGCATAGGTAATCGGTCTGACGAACGGCAGGCACGCAGACAGTAAAACAAATGGAAATAAAACGACGGCGAAGAATGGCGAACAGCACGAAGTGGAAGGAGAAGAAGAACGGCAGGAAGAAATTGCAGGCACGCGAATCACGTGAAATTAAATCGCAGAGAGAAATAAATAAAATAAAAATAAAAGAAATCTTGGTAGCAGCGCATAAGGGTATCTATAAGCTTTTGGTAACGTATTATCGCCGCTAGGCTAAAGAGAATTAATTAAAAATAAAAACAGAAAAATATATATATATATTATACAATAAAGAGAAAATAACGCGACACACGATGAAAGAGAAGACACACAATCGCAGGACATCCAGATCGCAATGGCAAATTTGACGCGGAACTCGAGTTCAATGTATCGGGCCCGTGCGAACACTCGGACGAATTCATCGCGAGTTACTTCGACGAATGATTCGCCTGTCGACGTTCAACGATTTCGAGCTGACGAAATAGAGAAAAAAAGAAACAAGAGAAATTAATAGGAGATTACAAAAAGGAGACGAAGGAAAAATCGCGAGCGTTCGTATGAACCGTAATGGGGGAGAGAAGAAGGAAAAATTTACTGATAATAATAATAAGGCGACTATTTGAAATTATTTGGATAATCTGTGATACTCAGATTGACGATTATTATTCGGATTAGACGGCGTTTCGCGCGTTTTTAACGTCAACGGACAACACTCGAACATCGAGGTATTAATAGATAAGGTATCGATAAACGAAATTGTTCGAGGAACGCATGTTCCGGACCAAGCCCGAGCGCCCCGACGACAATCCACGCGCACTCGTTGATCGGTAAACACCTGTTTCTTGCCAAATCGTTGTCAAATTCCTCGTACATCTCAACCCATTAACCGGGAACGGGAAGCTGACTCGTTAGAAAATACTCTCTCAGAACACAAAACGATAGAATCTCGACAAATATTTAAAAATGTCAAATTTGATCACGATAAATCGTTATTATGCTTTCGCATGATCGAAAAAGAGTGCATTCCTCAGACATTCTTCGACACTTTGACTGCCTCCAGTTTCTCCTGTAACCCCACTGTGGCCATTGGTAACCGGAGTGCTTCGACTACTCACAATTGTAAAAATTGAATGAAAATTGACAGCTAGTAGAGTGTCAACCGTTACCAAGACGCCACCGGTGGTCACCCGTGACTGCCAATAAGGTAAACGCTCTATTGGCTAAGAACGACTAATTATTATTATCATTTTGCCATTACATGCTTCGAATAATAAAAATACTCCGCGTAATTTCGCCTTGGCAGTCAAAGAGTTAACCCGGTTAATGACTCCGCGTAAATAATTCAAATTTCGCGCGCTCAGCCGAGATCAAACGCTAATCTGCAGTGGAGAAAGGTGTCACTGAAAGTCTTCGTCATCTACTGCCTCCGAGAAAATCGAGCTAACCCCCTCTCTCCACTGCACCTACGTTTGCCCTCTGCTTTATAAAACAACCTGTAAAACGTTCAAAACAACCAACATAGATCCTTCGAATGAACGGAAGAAAAATCGGAGACCTGTTGAAAATTCCCTTCTCCTCGAACCTTCTTTCCCAAGACAGTTGGACGTGGAGTGGGAGAGAATGACCGATTGACAGCGTGGCGCGAAGATGGCGCCGGGGCCCGGTGGCCGGGAGTGGCCTGTGCTCGTCGCGACATCTGGCGCATATATCAGACCCCTCGATGCGCGGACAGCATCCAGACGGGCCAACTTGAAACGACGTCTGAATGATCAAAGATTCGGCCAATCGATCGCGTACTCGAAAGCGTTCCAGTCGATCACTGTCCCCTGCGGCTCGTTGAATTCGATCGTGCCGCGCGAGTGTGGCCGACGCGCTCGGACAATTGTTTTTTATATAATATTCGCTCGGATCATCCAGCGAGCGTGCGCGCGAGGGTGCCGCGAACAATGGTTCCCGAGAGAGACGGTGGCGCCCTCGACGAACGCTTCTCGTGGGAGGCGTAGGGCACGCGGATCGTTTCCACTCGGTTTTATACGACATTCGCACGGACCTGGAGACCGAACATCCGCGAAATCGGCCACGCCGACGAATCGATCGTTTTCAATCGGTTTCCAACGAAAACGCGGCGTTCCTCTGAACAGCGCGCGCATCACGATAACACGTTGAACGATCGGGACACCGTGTCCGGAGCTTTCATTTCAACCATACCGTGCCCGCGTGCTATGCACAGCGCTGTATATTTGTACATTCGAGGTATGGGGCACAGGTTCACCGAGCATGTACCATTTTCTTTTACCCTGAACATCGTGCACGTTTCGCGGCGTCGTTCAACGTGTTAGGGGTTTATTCGCCATGCGCGATATTTTCTACGTTTTAACGATAAAAAAGAATAAAAATATATATAACGGGTTTCCTTTCCGGATTAATATCGGGATGAATATCGAGGCAAGGGATCGCTGAGATCGTTCGAGGACGCCGATTTCGCGGATATCGTTGTAATTCCACGTAACACCCACGAGATAATCATGTTACTAAGACTCTGCGTTTTTTAATATCAGCGAGACTCGGCCCTGACCACGGGCGAACAAAAAGTGTTTTCAATAAACTGTTACATTACCTGAAACCATCTATCGTTCTCATTTCCCCCGTTTTTAGCCTGAACCGTGTCGCGAGACCGGGTCTATCGTCCATTGTTTCCCGAGCGGGCGCCGCCATCGCGAAATATTGCCGGAAATTCGCGCAGCAGCGAATACTTGGACACCACGCGTCACTCCCGTTCTCAGGCACTGGAAATTATGTCTCTGCGACGACCATGCAAGAGAAGGAGGATATGTAAATCCATGGGCCACTCTCGGATCGGTAAACGGGAGCATCTCTTCATGCTCACGAATCGTTGGTAAATCCTGGCATCCAATTAATCGAGAGTGACATGTCCGATTAATATCTGACGTTGCGCGCAGGATAAGCGAGCCCCTCCACGGGACCAGATCTAGGAGCGTGCGAGCTAAAGCCGTGGAATCAGCCTCGAACGAATCGGTTCCCTCGAAACAGTCATCGTCGTCGGACTGTAGCGTCGTTTATTTAGGATCCTATACGAAGACCCCCGAACTGATAGACTTAGAGAGTAGCAATGACAATTTCAATGCGGAGGTAGTCCAGCACAGCGAAATCCAATCTCAAAATTAGCAGTAAAATCGTCGTTTCTTTCGTCCTCCGTTAATACATCAAAAATTTTGGAATTTAAATTAGCATATAACAAAGTGTATCTTTCCACAGATAAAATAGACCCGTCCAGTAGTCGATTTCAGCAGTCGATTTAGAAAGGTACCAGCACACACCCTGACACCTGTCAAATTATTATTCGTAACGGGATTATCCATTTGTCCGTGAAAAATAAAGAAAAAGAAGCAACGGATTCGATTGATACGTAACTTCACTCGCGATTGCTACCAATTCCGAGGCATTAAATGTAATCGTCTCCTTTGATCTTGCAAGGCAAATAGGCGGCTACCAGGAATTTTCTCGAGGTGGAACACACGTTCTCTATCTCCGCCTTTCCGCTTCGCATGATCTCGAGCTCTCTGAGGAGCTCGGGGGTCATGTAAGGCCTGGCCTGGAGAGCTGTCAGTTTCGAGAAATCGAATTCCGTGAGGGGGACCCTGTTCACTGCCAAAGCCTGCAACTCCGACGGATGAACCCCCAGCCAGCGTACGTTTGAGCAGGCCAGGCTTTCCCTCTGTCTGGACAACGTAATCGAGCCGAAACTGGTTGAGAGAAAAGAAATTTTATCGTACATGATTTCTGCGTCATTATCAACTTCTCGTTAACCGTTTGTCACCTTCCCTGTGCTGAATAAATGCTACTACACGCGAACGATTTGTCAAAGCGAATGACTTCGATTAGGTATTTGATTTCCTAAGATTGGATTTACCGATAGATACACATGATGTCGACGCCAAAAGGATCCGCGTCGACGACTATGTAAACCGGAAGCTGCAATTTCTCTGACAGCAGCTTGACCAGCATCCTCGTCGCCACGTCCGGATATCCTTTGCCCGTTATCAGGATGCACTCTAAAGAGGAGGTGCAATTGTCCTCCAACAGCTTCTGAAAGACGGCGTCTTTCTCCACGATCAGCACCATTTTCGCCTTGGCGCGAACGGAAATTACGTTTGACAGGATGTGGGGAATAAGGGCGCCCCCTGGCACCCTACAGTCGATGATCCGATTGTCGGACAGTGTCAGCGTTAGCTCGCCGGCAGCTAATCCTTTCGACGTTGGCAACAGATCTGGATAATTCGTTTTCACGGTGAAATTGCTGTCATATTTCATTCGGCTCTCTTTTCACACGGTACTTCCTTCGTGCCATCCACTTTTAATTGAATTTCTGTGGCTTTTGACCATTTCCAACGCGTTAACTGTCACTTGGTGCACTCTTACTTGGTGCGATCAGGGTATAATAAAATTTCTATTATTCGTAGGTTAGAATGAATTATTATACAATATGACGAGAATAAAAGGAAAATTGCGTACTTTTCATTTCATTTGCAATGATTTCTATTTATTTATTCTGTGCAAATTTCCAAATAGCAAACAAAAGTGACTCAACACGACTTGTTAAATTAAGTAGCTTTTAAGATTTTAGTTGAATGTTAAAAAATATTGTTATTGGCACGAGTGTACAGTGTAAAAAGAGACCCGATGTAATTTGCAAATGGTGGACAAATTTTCGAATTTTGTTATTCGAGAATAAATGCGATCAAAGGAGGAAGATGTCGGATGAGATCCGATTAAATTCCGCAATGGGAAAGGGAACACTCACTGAGCTCCCATGGCGGGCAATTTAGCAAATTAGCAACGTGATTCACGGCCTGGTCCAGGTACCTCTGTTCCGGTACCAAGTGCCAGGTATTCTCGTTTTTCAGGTCGTAATACAGGGAGCGTCTGGTGACCGTGCAGTTGGTAATTAGCAAACGATGCGCCGTGGCCATTACGATCATGATTAAAGCGAACTTGTCTTTGCCTCTTTTGCTGGCAAAGTCGGCCAATGGTCTTGTTCCGTATCGCTCGGTTTCATCGGAATCCCGACCAGATTCCTCGTGAAATTGCGATTCGAAATCGGTGTCGTCGGATGTCTGCGTGTCCAATGATGCGCAGTTTCGTGGCAAAGTGCAGAAAATTTGCGGTAAACGACCGGAACATATTTGTTGGATCGTGGTCGCTGTCAAGTCCTCGATGCGAGCTATTAGTTGCTTCCTAAGTAGCATAAATTTGTCTGTTTATTGCACTATTTTTAATTTATTGCCTTTTTTTCATTTTTGCGTGGTTCGTGGAAATGCTAGAAGTAGCTGATGTTCACCTTGATTCTGTATTATCTACCACGGGTATGTCGATTTTCTTCTCCTGGACAGCTCGTGTTTGACTGTCGGTAATCCTGAACCCTCCTATACTCGCGTTTCTATTAACGTTTAACATTTTCTCTGCAACAAACAATTTATTTTATGGAACAAGTCGTTATTCGTTGATTTTTATATGGAAATTTTTTAAAATTTTGTTTATTATAATTGGTATTGTTGCTCAGGATATGATTGTTAAGTGTAGAAGAATATTTAAGATTCTTCACAGGGTTAATATATTTTATGGATTTTTCACGATTTTATGAAAAATTTTATAATTTATTCATGGTAATGTTGGATATTAAGCAAGATTGTGTAATCTGTTTCTTTGTCCACAGATGGCACGAGGAAGGATGTCGGCGTTTGATTCCACCAAACTTCTTTATCAACGTGATTAAAATACAAATCTACCTTTCCCAAAATTATAAATAAATTTTGCAACAAATATTCATTTGGCTACTATATATACAAATAATAAGTAACATTTTAACTAGCCAGAAATTTGATGAAAATACGGAAATAAAAATTCCTTTGTATACATAGATCTCAAAACTTTCTCAATTCTAAAAATTTTTCGCAATCGTGCTTCCAAATGGCTTCAGAGGATTTTAATCGAGATGAAATTATAAGGAAAGGGGTGGAAGACTGATGTTTATACTACCACAGAATTTTTATTCCATATTATGGAAAAAATTGTATTATTATCTCACAAATTAACTAATGCTTAAAACCAAATTGCTATATATAAAATTAATTTCCTCCCTCTTCCTTTCCCTCTAAATTTCATCTGATTCACCCACTGGATCCCCTAACTCACCGAATATGTCACCAAAAATTCTTTTTACTATCTCAAAAATTAACAAATGCTTGAAACCAAATTCCTATATTTAAAATTAATTTCCTCCCTCTTCCCTGGCCCCTAAATTTCGTCTAAATTAGCAACTGTATCCTCTCACTCACGAAATAAGTCACCAAAAAATTCCTTTTATTATCTCAAAAATTAACAAACACTCAAAACCAAATTTCTATATTCAAAATTAATTCCCTCCCTTTTCCTTTCCCCCTAAATTTCATATAAATCATCCACTGGATTCTCTCACTCAACAAATAAGTCACCAAAAAATTCCTTTTATTATCTCAAAAATTAACAAATGCAGGAAACCAAACTTTTGTATTTAAAATTAATTCCCTCTCTCTTCCCTGGCCCCTAAATTTCGCCTAAATTAGCCATTGGATCCTCTCACTTGTCAAATAAGTCACCAAAAATTATTTTTATTATCTCAAAAATTAATAAATACCCGAAACCAAATTTCTATATTTAAAATTCATTCCCTCTCTCTTCCCACCCTCTTAAATTTCGCCTAAATTAGCCATTGGATCCTCTCACTCATCAACTAAGTCACCAAAAATTATTTTTATTATCTCAAAAATTAACAAATGCTCAAAACCAAATTCCTATATTTAAAATTAATTTCCTCCCTCTTCTCTGGCCCCTAAATTTCGCCTAAATTAGCCATTGGATCCTCTCACTTGTCAAATAAGTCACCAAAAATTATTTTTATTATCTCAAAAATTAATAAATACCCGAAACCAAATTTCTATATTTAAAATTAATTTCCTCCCTCTTCCCTGCCCCCTAAATTTCGTCCAAATCGAAATTTATACTACCAAACACCAATACTTCGCTTCATCCGAGCATTACGTACCCTCGAGGAGGAACCGGAAGCAGCCTATTCGCATGGGAAGAACCGGAAGCGAGGACGCAGGAGTCACGAGTCGCTCCATAGTCGGTTTTTCGAACGACGGCGAGTTTAGAAGGCAACGAGGCCAGATAAAAATCTACCACCTATCCGGACGTAAGATTCTCACAGCAATAAACATATTAAGCTGTTGCAGGACGGAAGAAGTATTGATCAGCGGCGCGTAGCGGACGCCGCAATGCGATCGACAACGATTTTCCCGGTCGGAGAACGACGCTCGTATCGAGTAGCGAATCTCGAGAGAGCCGGACACCCCGCTGCGCATTTGTGAGCGGCGACCATTGAACGCCGCGCTACCGAGTGCACTAAAGACACTTCAGGACCTCATTGTGCAGCACAAAACAGTGGCCGTGCCTGCAAAACGCTCGATTGTAACGAAATTCGCCCACTGAATCCCGTTCCCGCGAAATCCCGTTTCATCGCCAAGCTTTTCGAGCTGAAAAACAGGCACGGGGTTGACTTTCTCAAACGATACACTCGCGTTACAGAGGGAAATCCAAATCTGATAAAGGGTACGGGCTACGGGGGGAAAAAGGGGAAGCCAAGTCTCCGCGTTAATTTTTTAAATTTAAAATTTGAAATCAGGGGATTAGCAATTTTTCCTGCAAATGATCCTAAATTTCAAGAATACGGTAGAATCTCGATTATGCGAGTACACGTACACGTGTACAAATTGGAAAACTGGAATTAATAATGAATTAGAAAATTTGGTATATGATATGCCTAAATCCGAAGGCTATTGAATAATAATCACGAATACACATACACGTGTATAAATTGGAAAACTGGAATTAATAATGAATTAGAAAATTTGGTATATGATATGCCTAAATTCGAAGGCTATTGAATAATAATCACGAATACATGTACACGTGTACAAATTGGAAAACTGGAATTAATCAAGAATAAGAAAATTTGGTATATGATATGCCTAAGTTCGAAGGCTATTGAATAATAATCACAAATACACGTAGACGTGTACAAATTGGAAAACTGGAATTAATCAAGAATAAGAAAATTTGGTATATGATATGCCTAAGTTCGAAGGCTATTGAATAATAATCACAAATACACGTAGACGTGTACAAATTGGAAAACTGGAATTAATAATGAATTAGAAAATTTGGTATATGATATGCCTAAATTCGAAGGCTATTGAATAATAATCACGAATACACATACACGTGTATAAATTGGAAAACTGGAATTAATAGTGAATTAGAAAATTTGGTATATGATATGCCTAAATTCGTAGACTATTGAATAACAATCACGAAATGGTAATAGCAAATTCTCAAGGAAATTCGATTTTGTGTAGGATTATTAATTATTCAATGATCTCATTCACCTCTGTAGGCAATTAGAATATATGTATATAATTGGTGGATACGAGCTTGCGTAGTTGGAGTGGGGAGAGCGATGTGTATATGTATGAAGATTTTCGGCAATAAATCTGTACTCAGTCCTCAGTGCTCGTTAGATGAGTCTGTTGAATTAGTTGCGAATAGAACAAGGTATATAGAGTGTTTGTACAATAAGAACTAAATTGTTTGCAATAAAATATTAAAGTAATATAAATAAAAATAATATAGAGTGTCATTTAATTCCGACAACCTCCATCTTGTCTTGGTATTTATTATACTTTTCATAATTTCTATTTCTTCCATTACCTCATATTTATGATTCTAATATGCTTAATATGATTAATCGTATAGTTATATCTTATCCCTTGAAATAAATGAATAATTCGAAAATCTACAGGAATTATACCCAAATAATTCCGAAATAATAATAATTTTGTTGAGGATCATTTAGTTTCTGATTCTATCCAATTAATCCTTCGCACTCGACGATTTTTTGGCTAAAGAAGGGTACAAGTTGAAAAATTTTCTGCTATAAAGCTGACGATATTTCTTGAGCAGCAGATAAGAAATCGTATAATAACTAACACGTAGAATTATTTAATTTCAATATCTCGTACACTGTTATATTATTTCAAATTTGATATATTAATTAATATCGAGCTTCGAAATTTTATCAAATGGCGACTGAAATGCGCCTATCGAGTGCAAAGGGTTAATATAGCAATAATAATAATTTCTCTCTATGCACCCTCTCAGTGACTCGCTTATGGTTAACTCACCAATCATCCCCACTTCCTTATTTCAACTATGAAAGCTTCGAAATTCATTTGAAATTCATTTAAAATGCCATACTTACATAACTATGATATATATAATTATCCCGAAATTCCCATACGGGAATTGCCATAAAGGCAACGATATGTATGTGTGTATGTGCGTGTGTGGCGAGTGACTGTTATGTGTGAAGGAGGCGATGCGTCTATTCGATTATTATTTTTCCTTTTATTTCAGTCAGTCGTGTCCGAGTCCCAGAATAGAACCCATTCACTGCATACAGAAATATAATCATACATTGTATAACCTTTGTTAATTTTAATAAATATATTTGAATAAATAAAACTGCAACAGAAATACCGTGGAACACACGTTCGACAGGGGATCCCCATCGGATTACACGTGTATAAATTGGAAAACTGGAATTAATAATGAATTAGAAAATTTGGTATATGATATGCCTAAATTCGAAGGCTATTGAATAATAATCACGAATACACATACACGTGTATAAATTGGAAAACTGGAATTAATAGTGAATTAGAAAATTTGGTATATGATATGCCTAAATTCGTAGACTATTGAATAACAATCACGAAATGGTAATAGCAAATTCTCAAGGAAATTCGATTTTGTGTAGGATTATTAATTATTCAATGATCTCATTCACCTCTGTAGGCAATTAGAATATATGTATATAATTGGTGGATACGAGCTTGCGTAGTTGGAGTGGGGAGAGCGATGTGTATATGTATGAAGATTTTCGGCAATAAATCTGTACTCAGTCCTCAGTGCTCGTTAGATGAGTCTGTTGAATTAGTTGCGAATAGAACAAGGTATATAGAGTGTTTGTACAATAAGAACTAAATTGTTTGCAATAAAATATTAAAGTAATATAAATAAAAATAATATAGAGTGTCATTTAATTCCGACAACCTCCATCTTGTCTTGGTATTTATTATACTTTTCATAATTTCTATTTCTTCCATTACCTCATATTTATGATTCTAATATGCTTAATATGATTAATCGTATAGTTATATCTTATCCCTTGAAATAAATGAATAATTCGAAAATCTACAGGAATTATACCCAAATAATTCCGAAATAATAATAATTTTGTTGAGGATCATTTAGTTTCTGATTCTATCCAATTAATCCTTCGCACTCGACGATTTTTT